ACCTTTGCTCGCAAGATTATTGACGCAGGCTATAGCGTCATCATGGTAGAGGCTGGTGCAAAAGAGTCAGATCCTCCAGGTTCACACCTCAAAAATGCCTTTCGGTACCAGAGAGATATTAATTCATTCACTAGTATTATCAAGGGTCATCTGCAAACACTTTCAATCCCCACCAATGTTAATATTTACCCCGACACAATCGATCAAACAGCTGAGCTCCAAAATGGGTTTGTTATGTCTATTGGTAGTATCCTTTTACTGGTTGTATGCTTCCATTTTTTTAACACCTTCGCTTATAAAAATCCAGAACGATGCATATGAATCAAAATCCAGAGCAGGAAATAAAAAAAAATCTTTCCGCAGCAGCAGCCACTTATTGTGTCGGTGGCATGGGCACCCACTGGACTTGCTCAGTCCCGAGACTCCGCGGCAAGGAACGGTTTTCTCATCTCATTCCAGATAAAGAAATGGATCAATTATATGAAGAAGCCGAGAAATTTGTACACCAGACGCCCGACCCTTATAATGGTACTATGCTTCAATCAACTGTGCAGGAAGCACTCATAGAACATTACAAGTTAAGTTCTCTCCCAGCTGATCCTAAGGCATTGCCTCTTGCCGTCCGGTACGAAGAGCCATATAATTTTTGGACCGGGCCATATGATATACTTCTTGAAAAAAATTACAATAATAAAGACCTATTCAAACTGATGGTAAGCATAATTTGCAATGCATATTCCATCCTGTTAAATTGTGATAATAAACGAGAACGTGCTTTATTGATAGGACCAACACCTTGCAACACTACTTCACCCAAGTGATGACAATTCAGCTATCATTGATGGGCTTTTAGTTAAAGATCTCCATTATAAAAAACAGTTTATTAACATAAAGGCCAAAATTTACATTATTTGTGGTGGAGCAGTGCTGACCCCACAACTACTTTACAATTCGATGCATCGTCAGCAGGAAACATGGGATATCGAAATGCCTGCATTAGGAAAGTATCTCTGCGAACAGACTCTTGCCTTTTGCCAGGTAATGCGGGATTGACTATTGTAACTTTGTCAAATGTTTTGAAATTATTTCATAAAACTATGATTTATTTCTTAAAATGTAGATTGCGTTAAAAAAAAATATCGTGGATAAAATGTTAAAGGACGAG